CTATTGTTAAATGCTACTATGGTGGTCTAGAGGTAACGGGCTCGCTTTGGAATCCAAAGGTTCGGGGTTCGAATCTCAGACAGGGCAAGACTTTTTTAATTTAAATAAAATTCGAAACCAACTTTAAATTTACAATCAATTGCAGCCCACCTCTCTCCTTTACTCCGATCTCTATTGCGCAAACGTTTAAATCTAGACATTTGAATTTACCGCCAATTTTATTGCCGCACTCTGATTGATCAAACAACCTATCGTTACTCGATTTTAAATTTACCGCCAATTTGCCGCGATCTGATTGGTCGAGAGATGTGGCCAATTTGAATGCTACGCTCTGACTGGTCGATGGGCGTGGCCTAAAAGTGGAGTGGAGGGGGTAAAATTCACCAAAAATTTGCAATCTGAACCTTCATAAGAAAATACATGGGATTTTGTCACCGTACGCCCCTAGCTTATCTACTCTCGTAGTATTTTGAGGCGTTGAACACGATGCCATTAGTAAAATTTATCCACGACATCGATATTTTTCATAAATCCACTATTTGTGTGAAAATTAGCCAAAACTGATTTTTTCCTTAATTTTGTTCAAATATATTTTTTGTATTATTTTGGCCAGATTTCACTCAAATAGTGGATTTTTTGAGAAACATCGAGATAATGGGTAAACTTTACTAAAAGCGTGGTGTTCAGTGTCTCCAAATGCTACGAAAATGATAGGTATGTATATCTGGACAATTTCTTCGGATTGATATGTGGGTCTCTTGGATTTACCTATTCTACTCACGTTTTTTCAAGATTCAGATTAAGCGAATTTATTTCAATTAATTGTAGCAAGTACGTAATAATCGTTCATACCTAAATAAATTTGTTGTATTTGCATAACTGTAAAAATGTTATAATTTCATAGACAGATTAAAAATCGTTTTCTTCCAATATAATATTAATGACCATCATCTTGTGAAACATAATTTCATGTACCTACTTTAATTTCTGTAATACTAAAAAACATTATTTCAGTTGCAGTTATGATTACCTTGTAATTCTGGAGAACACAACAAATGTTAGTACCGCAAACCACTCAGTTTTCTCTAAGCGTCTCTGTGGGGACTGGAGCTCGAAACTCAAACTCTTAAGATATGTGAGTCAAAGTTCTAGATTGATTTTAAGATTTATATCGGATTATTCCCATCATTTTGGAGGTTTCAAAGCTCGAGTTTCAATGGAAAATGGTAAGAACTACAAATATTTTTTAATTTCTTTAAGTAATTACCTAAATTTAATAATTGTTAGATAGACCCTATACATATCTATATGCCTACACGGTGTTCCGGTACTTGATACAAAAAAGTCGACTATAAATAGATGAGGTAAAATTATATCAGTTATATAAATTTTTTTCATACGGGCCTTTGTCAACAAGTTAGGGGTCCTTAAAGGAGAAAATTAAAAAGTTATTTTTATTTACAGTCTCTAAACTTTTAACTTCAGCATGATAACACATGCGTACAGCTTGTTTTTAATGTTGTAAGTGAAGCTTCATTACGTACTATGCCTAATGGTTAACAACCCAGAATTTTTTGCATAAATGACGATCTCAATCTGCTTGCATCAAAAATAAATTCCCTGAAGAATTTGCCAACGATAATGTCCTCTTGGTTCAATTCGGTAAAATTAACCGTTTAGGAAATATTTGTGATTTTGTCATAGTGCGCGCCATTATTCCATGGCTAGAAATTGGCCTCAATGATTTGGGATCGAGGGGGATTATCCCTCTTTATCCTGCCTCATCTCGTGTAGGCCTGGACAGCCTTCGTAGGTGGGCCCCATCCGTCGTCTACCCCGACCTCAAATGCGGCCGGTGTAGGCGCTTTGTGGGACCTCATTTTGTCCTGGCTGGGCCCCGCCGGCTAGGGCCCTTTCTTCTGGCGCTCTTCTTGCAATGCAAATCAAGCGGAGCCTCCACCATTTTTTGTTTTTAATTTTTTTATTGGACATAATTACAATGTTGAACCGTACATATTTTTAAAATAAGAGCCTTACGGTCTGCTAATGTATTTTTTCACTAACACAATTTGACAAACACTTTACACAACACAAAAAAAATATAGATTTCAATGTATTATTATGAAATCTACCATGAAAAAAATTAGTGCGATTGTGGAAGATGCTCGGTATCGTCCAGACTAATAATTAGTTAATTTGTTTATAAGGCCATAACTTGTAAACTATTCAACTTACCGATTCCAGATTTCGTGTCAGTTATTAGACAGTGATAAGGAATGAGAGAATGCGATGCCAAAACGTTCTGGTAATAATAACGCAGTTTATAAATGTTTAATTCAAAAGTCATAAATAAACTTCTTCTGTTTATAAATTTTGTTCTAATCAATATTTTTTGACGCTCGAGGGCTAGTTTTGCAGGTCTTTTGAAGATGAAAAAAAAAATACTTTACTGAAAAACGTGAATTTACGTAAGTCATTGTTATGACTGTGGAAAATAATATGTTATTGTACATACTATTTAGCATCTATAGTGATAAATTCAGCTTGCCGAAACAAAAAGTCGCGTCCAACTCTATATTTTCTGGCCTATATTAGCTTCATTTACGGCTACTTCAATAAAGAAATCTGACATAACATTTTCTATTTAGAATTTCAAGGTTTGTCAAATTATGTTAAAAAAATACTCTGTTGCCATTTAAAAAAATGTCGTTTTAGTAGCTACTGCAGAAATCTGGCAACACCGGAAAGAATTATTTATAAATTTTCTTAATCAAGTTATTTCCTACAACTTTGCCAACTTTGCATTTGGAAGTACTAGTCTATCACTTCAAATAAAAAAGTTGGCCTGTCAGGTTTTAAAAAAATAGCACTGTATACAATCATGTAGTAATTTATTGGCAACAAACAAAATATTCAGTGCTTAGGATTTAAAAGATTTCGATTACAACTGATACAATTGTGTATTTTCTTCACTTTTTATTCATTTGTCATTTGCAGCAGTGCAGTGTGCTGATGACCGCCTGTTAATGTTCAATAACTTTTGCTACCTTATTGTAAGTTACCCAGAGGCAACTTGGGATACATCTCAACAAATATGCAGTGGCCTAAAAGCAAATTTAGCATCCATATTGTCGCCTGAGGAGGAAACATTTATAACAGCCAATATTCGTAAAGCAACTGAATATCGCACCAGTGCTTTATATTGGTTAGGAGCGAGAGTCGAAAATGGTTACGATTTTAAATGGACTGACGAAAATGTTATGGAATACTCCGGATGGTTACCGGGACAGGTACCAACGAAAAATGACATAGGCAAACATTCTAAAGGTAGTCGTTGTTTAAGTTTGCAATGGATACAGTCTCCTACACATCTACTGCCAAGCGGTTTATACTGGAAAATTCAAATGTGCAATTCCATGGGTGGTTACATCTGCAAAAGACCGCATCAACTAGTAGAACCTGGTTTACATTTTAATAAAATAATAAGCGGCACAGAAGGTAAATTAAGCACACCCAATTATCCTGGACATTATTATGACAACTTAGACTTTTCTGTTAAAATTTCTGGTCCTGTTAAAACACGATTGGTGATTAAATTTGAAAAAATCGACATTGAGTGGCAGATAGAGTGCTTGTACGATTACATTGAAATAAAATCTGTGTACAAGAACCTTAAAAGACTAAATAATGCTGTGAAATGGTGTGGATCTTACGACACCGAAATGAATCGTTTTAATTTTGTTTCAGAAACTAACGAAGCTGAAATATATTTTCACTCTGATTACTCTATATCAGGTAGTGGATTTTCACTAACCTGGTACACAGTGGATGTATCGGCATGTCCTACGCAAACACTTACAACGAAAGAAGGCATATTGATGACTCCAAATTATCCACATTTTTTATTGGCTCACTTAGATTGCTCCGTAACAATTCTAGCTCCGAAAGGAAAAAGAATATGGCTAGAATTCTTAGAGCTTCCATCAAATAAAACGTATAGTGAGTTTGAGCTTAGAAACAAACATAATGAAGACGTCGTTTTTGAAATAAATCTAGGAAAACAATCTTCAATTTTTAAACCTTTTCAAATAGAGGGACTTATTACCGATGGAACTTTTGTATCGACAGAAGAAAAACTAAAACTAAGATTAAGGACTAGTGATCATCCTCAAGGCAATGGATTTCGCGCTAGCTATAAACTAACAAGTATTGTTAAAGAAGAGAAAATTATTACGTTTAATAATTATACCTCGGGCACTTTATTACACTTAAATTATCCAGATATTCCACCGGCAAATGTTGATTTCGTTCAACATTTAATAGCTCCTCAGGGAAGTATAATTTCTCTAGAACTGTACTACGTCAAACTTAGCGACTCTGAATGTTCAAATGATGATGGAGTTATTGAAGTTTACGACAACTACTCTGATACAAATGGAACTTTATGGAAATTATGTTCTGACAAAGGAGAGGAAACTACGCTAATGACACCAATTTATATTTCATCATTTCTAAACACTTTACACCTAAGGCAGAAAAACAGAATTACAGGAATTCCACTTAATGGGTCATTACGTATTCAAATGGACGAAAATTATAAACATAAATTGATCAAATATAATGGGAGAAGTGTAGAGTCATGTAATCCTAACCCCTGTCAGCATGGAGGAAAATGTTTAATGAATAATCGTAAGAGATATTGTCAATGCATAGGCCATTATACAGGTAAATATATTTTATATGTGTATACATACGACGTGTCTTAAATTGTTTCCAAATATTTTCAGGACAGATAGGTTAAAAAACATATCTTTTTTATAAACTTTTTCCGAAAAAAGGCACTGGATATCATATATTTTTAATTGTATTAAAAACTCTTCAAGATATCTTCTTGGTATGTCTTGCATAAAGGGTAGTTTTAAGGGAGACTGGTACTATTTCATTCCCAATATTTTCATGTGCATGTTTGTCTTGATAAAATTTTTCAAAAAATGTTTATTTTGAAGTCGCTAGAGAAACTTTAATGCGTGTACCTTAATTTATATTTGTCTGCTTTTTTCAATGTGACATGTTAGACAAAACTATTTTCATAAAAATAATACTTGACCGATCTTGTTGGGGCAAGGGTCGATTACATACATCGTTATTTTCTTTGTTTTTCATAAGCGGTTTTTCAAAAAACCCAAATAAAAAAGAAAAATATGTGACATTTTTGCTGCCAATGCCTATACCTAGTCCCCTTAGATTATTTATTATTTTTAGACTGAATTTGGGATTAAAAGAGAAATTATTTATTTGAGGTGTATATGATAATTGAACAATTGCAAAATTGTGGAAGATAACTGACAATTTTGAAAGTTGTACGTTGTTGCTTTTCCCTTACCCCTCGGAATTTGAGACATTTTGTAACATTTAATGTCAACATATAAAAACATATTTACACATAAAATACAACTATCTGAATATCCTAATGATAAACACATTTTAACAATCAAAGTAACTCAAAGTTAGCTACGATCCAAATAGAATACACGCAAAATCAGGGACGAAAGTAAAAATTTTGTCTCAGCCTATATCTCTTAGGTTACACCGGCACAAAAAAATACTCGAGTGCGAAGATGTAGACTCTGGTAGTACTACTTATTTTGATGCGAATAACGCAGGCCGACAAAATTTGGCCGGCCGACCCTCTGACCCAGAAACTAGAATGTACTTTTCCGAAGGATTTAGCTGTGCTCAATTCGAATCCGAGGTCCAAATCTCTCAATTGGCTATGGTTTTCAAGAAATCCTAACCTAAATGTCAAAATCGCGATTTTATATATATATATATATATATATTTGAGGCTATGTTACATGGATAGGTAATTTCCTAAACCTTTAATGGGGTCGTAACTTACTTTTTAAAGCGCACTTGGATTTAACTAGAGCCAACTGAGAAATTTGGACCTCGGATTCGAATTCAGTGCACCAAAATCCTTTCCGAAAGTATATTCGTGTTGTTAGGTTGAAATTTTGTCGGCCTGTGTTATTTATATTTAAAATAGTAAATTTTCGATGAAAAAATAAATGCAACATAATTTTCGAATCATAGTAATATTCATTCCTTAAAACCACATAAGACATACAACATGAATGAAACATTTCAAGAGATTTTTCAGATGTCACAAAAAACATGATTCCCCCCTTAAAGAGATATATCTCTCACATTGTCCATTGAGAAAGTTTATGTAAAAAGGTGCCCTTATTATTTGATGCATTAGCGGTCCTGAGAACATCGGAATACAATTTACCTGTACACGCAAAAGTTCCGTTGTATGTCCCGAAATATGTTCTAAATTAAGGTTAATAAATGGAAAAAAATCATAGAAAATCACCTAAAATAACATAAGTGTTTTATTTTTCTACGCTTTAAATAGGTATTTCAAACTTAAACAATTGTGCATAGCCTTCATAAAACTATAACTATAGTACAAATACATTTTTATACAGTGATATAAATAATAACTGTAAAGAAATAATCCACAGCTGTAAGTAATTTTCTTTGAAAAGCATATTAAAAAATCCCAACTGTACTTTTTGTGGGAACAATTTGAGAGTATACAATTGTTATCCATTAGATAAGGCGGCCGGAACTCAAAATTTATATGAAACACGGCGTGGAGCGGCCTAATAATACTCTAGTCGAATTAGACCCTAAAACCTGAAAACTTGAAAAAATTATTAGTAGACATTTTATTGCACTTCATGAATGTTTCAGTTTTAAAAAGTGTGTTGAAAACTAAGTCGTTTCATCTTTGTATGACTTTTTTTGGGTTTTTAGTCAAATAATCATCATTTTCTCTTTTTCACACTTTATAATTTAAGATGTTTTTTAGGGTTATTTTGTAGCCTTACAAAATGCGAATTAGAACCATGTGCATTTGGCACCTGCGAGCTTACGAAAACCAGTTACAAATGCCATTGTAAATCTGGATATATGGGGTCCATGTGCGATCAGAAACGTAAGCCTTGTGAAGGTAACCCATGCGAGGGTCGAGGAATATGTATAGAACGTGGAGATGGTTTCCTGTGCCAATGCCATGCTTGGTGGGAAGGACCTCGATGTGAGAAACGAATGTTAAATATTCCCTACAAACCGCTCAGTGAAAGAATGCTCCATGAACCTTTCTGGCTAGGACTTATGACAGTTTTCGTTGTTCTGGGCGTAATAGGCTTGGTATGGTGTGCGAAGCGGCACTTTCCGGAAAAGATCGAGAAGTTGTTAGCAGAAGAAGACAGCAGAAATAGAAGTAGGAATATATTGTCATTTAATTTTGGAAATTTGCTCAAAAAAACTTCCAAAAAATAATAATTGCTAAATTAAAATAAGGGATACTTTAAATCTTTTATGAAAAATATAAATATTCAATATGGATTTCATATAAAAATTCGATAGTTTCAACGCACCTAATTTCTTGATGTACTATGAACTGTGAGTAAATACAATAATCAGTGACCTATAATTTTCAATTAGGAACAACAGGTACCTAACAATGAAGAAGATACGTAAGCTGAGCAAAGAATATCAAATATATTTATCGATAAACCAGTTGTATAATTTAAAGATAATAATAAATACCTAGCATCTAATGAAAACCGCATATTTGACATAGAGAAGTGGAAAGTATTGAAACTTAAACAAAAGTTCGTACATTTTTCGAAAAACGTAATACATTATTTGATAAGTTTAAACATTCATTTTAATTTTACATTTAATTGTTTTTGAACTGTATTATGGTTATTTTTTAAATAGTTAAATTTGATTAACTCTTAAAGGGGATCTGTTACCTATAGTTTAGAATATATATAATTTTCCCTCCGAAAAATTTATTTTCTTTTTTAAGAATAAAGTAAAAACATCAGTTTTAATTGAATGTAAAAGTTAAGAAACAACAAACAGTAATAATACAGTAATAATTATTATGAAAAAATTTTAATTCAACACCATGACAGTGCATGACTAAACAGTGAACAAATTTCTTGTCTCATAAGAGAGAGAAAATATGAAATAATTATTCCTCAGAATTTTATTTTTGTTCACATTTGCTCCAAAAAAAGGTGCTCCTAAACCACCTTTCAACATTACCACTATCAAAAATTAAGATACTTCAAGTCTGTCACCCGGCAGGTTGACAGGTTGCTAAAAACGACAGATATAAACTCCCTAAGGATCATTTCACAGAAAACCAAATCAGTCCAGTCGCGTCCATGTCACGTTATTGGATCAACAAGATATATAATGTGTCCCCGAATGGGGTATCGCATTCTTGTAAACCTTTTTATTGTTGATTTTTCGAGGAAAAGTTATTCTTGATAAAATATTTTGCTTATCTTGCTTAAAATACTCAGGGCGTCCAAAAAATTTCAAAATGTGAAGTTTTCCTTAAGCAAAGTGCCTTTAATTTCTGTTTTCGTCAAAAATTGTATTTAACAAAGTTGTTCAAAAACTCTAGAAATGCTTAAATACGGGGTTTAATCAGAACAGAACAATAATCACATTTTGCAAATAAAAACACCCCGCAAACTATTTTACATACCTACCTTATAATTACCATGGATTTCCTTATCAATGTCAAAGTCTGTCCACGGAATAATTTTTATTAATAATGCTAACCAAGGGGCAATGAATTTATCTTATTAAATGTTATGGAATCGGTAATGTTTCATATCGATATACAATACCAATTTTTAATGAGACGTATCCAAATGTAACTGCAACTCGTACACTAGTTCACAAGCTAATTTTAAAATTAGATATGATGTAAAGAATATTAAAAGAATACAAAAAGAATACAATGATAACGATGCTGCTACTGTTGTAGTTATGGACTCTGTACAAGACAATCCAAAGATATCACTCAGGAAAAGGTCAGAACAGGTCAGCAAACATAGATATTATATTCAAAGAAAAAGTATACAACAAACTCTATCATTCAAATCAGTGTTTAATCATAAATTCCTTGATGATTGTCGTTTCGACTTTTGTTTAACAATGGGTGAGATACCGATTGAAAACAACTTTCATCACAATATTTTATTTACTGATGAATCAACATTTATAACTAATGGCGTGGTTTCCTTCCAAAATTGTAGATACTGGGCTAAATATAATGCAAATTTTCGATTGATAACTAATAATCAAAAATTTTAAAAAGTAAATGTCTGGTGTGGTATCATAAAATAATTGACTCTTACCTTTTAGAAGAAAATCTTAATCTAAATTCGTATTTGGAAATTTTCAATAATATCGTTTTGGAAGAACTAGATAGCGTAAATTTAGAGTTTAGAAGAAAACTAATATTTAAATAAGACGATTGCCCTGCACCTTCCACAATTCTATTGAGAAACTGGCTTGACGTTCACTTCCCGAACAAGTAGATCGGATGCTATGGACCAATACCTTGGTCTGCACGGGCACCCGACTTGTCCCCATTAGATTATTTCTTATCCGCATACCTAAAGCAAAAAATATATTCAAACGGTTTTGACGATTACATTGATTTACTTAAGCAAAAATTCAGGAAGTTGTTGCCACCATAAACGAACAGATGATCTCGTCTGTGTACAAGGAATTTAAAAAAAGATTAGAAAAATGTGTATTACTTGGAGGTTTACAAGTTGAATAGGTCTTGTTTCGTTGTTGTTAATTCCAGTTCTAATTTGATGTTTTTATTTTTTAATTAGAAAAAATTTGAAATTATTTGGTTTGCAGACTACCGTGGCAGTTGCTAATGGTAAAACAAATTCCGGACTGGTTGCCACATCGACGGATTAGATTTCTTTTCAAAAACTCGAAAACTTTCAGAGTTACTTCTGGAAAATAGAGCGATATGTCTCTCGCAACGTCAGGAAACCTATACTGACGACGTGGCAACTAAGCTGGAAATTGTTCGACCAAGCTATTTTTATATTATATTAAATTTAAAATAAAAGTTTACTTATTTTTTACAATTTATGTCTGCTTTAAGTAAGATAGTTAACAATCGCGTCTTCATATTTACAAAAAATGTTATTATTGTTCTTTTCTTACTAAACCTCATATTTAAGCATTTCTTACGTTCTCGAACAACTTACAGTTTTTAAAGAAAACAAAAAATTAAAGGCACTTTGCTTAGGGAAACTATCACATTTTGAAGGGAAATCAATTTGAACACATTAAAATAACATTCTTTCTTTCATTTTTTGTCTTATTCTTTAAGGGATGATTTTATTGTCACATTCAATTCAAAATTTAAAAAGTCGTATGTCGTCGTGAGCAGAATCGAATTTTTTGAACGACCTGTATGTTCTATTGCATATTTGATTACTCCCATGGTTTCCCAAGATAAGCAAAACATTTTATCAAGAAAAATCAACAATAAAAAAGTTTACAGTGCAATACCCCATCCGGGGACACACTGTTTATCCACTAATATAAAGCAGAGATAAGAATTTTATTTAACACTAGATGATGACTTTATTTCAACAGCAAATTATTTAATTTACGTAAAGTAACTATGTAATTTCAATTCACTTAACGTTCATTTGCAATTGAGACATTTGAACTTCTCACATTCAATCCAATCACGCGGAGACTTCTATTTATTTATTGATTTTCATTAACTTTTTGTAATATGGAATTTTTTTATCTGAGATAAATTGCTAATCTCTCGTCATGTGAAAACGCAGTCCTGTAATTTCTATTTTGTTTCCTAATAGCTTCATGAACTAAATTTCATAAGTTAAAAAATAGGTTTGGACTAATTCCAAAGATGTTTTAACTTTGTTTTTCGTCAAACAGATTTGGAAATGCGTGAAATAAATGATCCGAAAAAAATGTCTGAAAATTACTTTGAATGATATCCAGGAACTTTTATGTCCAAGTTTTTGAAAAATTCATCTGATTTTAAACTTCTAGACTGATGCCATACTACTGAGACATACAACAACTATTTGATGAGCGTGTTAAAAATGGTGACTGATAAAAATTAAATATGTCAAATAAAGGAGCCTCTAAAATCGTTAATTTAAACTGAATTGTGTACCCAGTTATTTTCCTAAAGCAGTGTCGCTATGTTACTAAAATAACAGTGGACTTAATACTAAAACTCATTTCGTTAGTCTATTGTTGCTAGTGGGTTTCATATTACAGCAATCCCCAAGATCTGGATTAAAGAACACGTTTTTAATTCCGAATTATTTTCTGATGATTTTATAGATACCGCTGTGATTTGTAATGAACCAATACGTCTTATTTAATGTTACCGACTATTATACAGGGTGTTCCAATTAAAACTTCCCACCTGAAAAACAACGGAATAAAAAAACAAAAAAAAAATCTGAGACGTCGATTTTCTTTTCAAGGGGGGCACGTGATGGCGAAAGTGTTGGTGTCTTGAACAGGGGCGTAAAATATCCTTAAACTTTAAATGGCACCCTGTGTTGAGTGACACCTCATTTTAAAGCTTTTTGAATTTTGCTCACGACGACATACACTTTTTAAATTTTGGTTTGAATATGACAATAAAATCATCACTTAAAGAATAAGACAAAATATCAATGAATGAAAGAATCTTATTTTATTAAATGTTCAAATTGGTTTCACCCCGCTTCCTTACAATAATAAAATCTTAGTACCACTTTCGAACGAACATTTCGAAGCATTTCGGGCGTTTTCTGATGACATTTTTCAACGGACAATTAGCCGACGAAGCTCCTCAAGTGAGTTCGGTCGTATTGCATAAATTTTCGACTTTAAGTGTCCCCATAGAAAAAAGTCTAAGGGCGTTAGATCTGACGATTTGAAAGGTTAATTAACAATCAATCAATCAATTTAACCTCTGCGTCCTGTGCTTTGGAAAGTTCTGATTAAGAAAATCAAATAGCTACTGCATAATGTGATGGGGCACCATCCTGCTGAAACCACCCATCATCTTCTGGCAAACCGTTGTCATTTTCCAATACTTTCACAATCGTCGGGTAGATATTTGTTTTCAGTAGATTCAGTAGATGTTTCCATCCAGATTTCTCAGTAGGAAGAAATGCCCTATAAGGTGGTCTGCCAGTATGCCCGCCCAAACATTAAATTACCTCGGATGCTGCGTATGAGTTCCATGAAAAATACGTAGATTTTCATCATCCATTAGTACAAATAATTTGGATTTGGATCACTGTAGTAGGCGGCAATCCAGTTGGAACGTACGTTCATCGGGAAAACAGATTGAGTACAAAAAATTTGCATTCCTTCGAGCACGATCACTCATTTCTTCACAGAACTGCAAGCGGAGATCAGGGTCGTCTTCATTAATTTCTTGTAGCAAATTAATTTTGTATGGGTGATACTTATGAATTTTTAAGATTCTGCGGAAACTAGGTCTAGATACAGGAATTCCTGAAGATTCCTAAGACTCAAATTTGGTTCCATTGCGACATGACCCAGAACAACTCCCTGGTTACCCTCGTAACGTACGATCTGTTCACGTTGATGCTTTCTGTTTGCAACGGATCCAGTTTCTACAAATTTATGCACTAAATCCAGGACATACCAATGCGAAGTGTTTCTGTCAGGATGACGATTATTAAAAATGTGTGCTGCCTGACGTGCAGTCATTATTTGTGCGGTATAGATGGAAGCGATTGTGCTGAAACTGAACTCACCCTCAAAAGTGTCCCGACGCGACACAGCGATCCTCCTTCACCAATCTAGCGGATGCAATATAGTGGATCTTCCGATGCAGCATAAACAGCGAAACAGCGAAAAGCGGGAGCGGGTTATTTTGAACAACAGAGACAGCACAGAGGAAAAAACACTTGTCGTTGACTTTTTTTCTTGACGTCGGTAATTTTGTTCAATTTCAACAACTTCTTTTTTTGTTCATGACAACCGCGGATATATAAAAAAAAAAACATATATTTTCAAACGCTCTAAACATTCTGCCCACCGAAAAATATACATATTTTTCATAAACTAAATAACTCTCTAAATCTAAGCAAAAATTAAAAATATAAAATTATATCTATAAAACAGACTTTAAGAGGTTGGTAAAGGACAGAGCTTTACCAGTGGTCGTTTTAGAGTTCCCCGTTTTGTAAAAACAGTAGCAACTCGTGCAATACCGTCTGAACTGGTATGTAATGACTCGATTCGTCGTATCTGCCATTTCAGCGGTGGAGATGAGTAATTTTTTATCGGCACCAAAGTGCCTGGCATGACAGGAGAAGACATTGGTTTCAACCATCTCTGACGCTGTTGCAGCGTATGTAAATATTCTTTATGCCACCTGGCCCAGAAATCTTGGTGGAGGCGTTGCAAAAGTTGCCATCGATTTAAATAATTCAATTTTAGATGTGACAGATCAGAATCAGGAAGAACTGTTAGTGGTTCAAGCGTCAAAAAATGTCCCGGAGTTAGAACTGATGAGTCTTTAGGGTCAGAACTTACCGCACAAAGAGGGCGGGAATTTAATAACGCTTCTATTTGGACAAGTACAGTATAAGCTCTTCGTAAGTTAGAATCTGTTGTTCAATTACTAGATAGAGATGTGTCTTCACTGATTTGACACCTGCTTCTACTAAGCTGGCGAAGTGAGGCGCAGAAGGCGGATTAAAATGCCAATCAAGAGCTTCGCACTCTGCAGCAATTTTTATTAAATTTTGAATTTGTTTGTTTCCACTTACAAAATTCGTTCCGCAATCACTGTAAATCTTAGAACACCGACCTCTACGAGAAATAAATCGACGAAAAGCTGCAATAAAGGCTTCACTACTTAGATCGGATGCAAGTTCTAAGTTCGCTTTTGTAGCGAAACAGACAAACACACATATATATTATTTGAAACTTTTAGCTCCACGAACTTTACCTAACGTAGTTAAAAAAGGTCCTGCATAATCTAATCAACGTAAGAAAATGGTTTAACCTTACTAATGCGCATCTCTGGTAAATTTCCCATCGGTGGTTGAAAGGTTTTTGGTGCTAATCTCCAACATTTTTGACAATTTGTAACTATTTTTCAAATAGCGCGTTTTTGAGATAAGATCGAAAAATGTTGTAATAATAAAAACTGTAATGTCTGTACACCTGGATGTAAGTAAGTTATATGGAAATATTCTATGATTAAAACTCTCAATCGACTATTACGTGGTAAAATAGCGGGATGTTTTTGATCATAAGTTAGTTTAGAATTATAAAGCCGACCACCGACTCGTAAGATACCTTTGTCGTCAATAAAAACATTTAATTTTCTAAACAACTTTGATAAAAGCTGGCCTTTTTGTAATTTAGAAATTTATTCTGCGAAATGAAAATATTGTTCATTTTTAACGCATAAATAAAGCGCTTCGTTCAATTCAAATATGTTAAGAAAGCCAGTTTTCTTTGCGGTTTGATGGCGACAGTTAAAAATGAAGTGAATTACATAAGCAAGAATTCTTTTGATTTTTGGCAGCGACGAATAAGTTTCTAGTAAAGTAGTGATAAAATTGGGTTGTATAAATGTATGTAAAGTGATTTTTCTCTCCTCAGAGAGAACAATTGGCACTACATCGGAATTATTACAATTTTTAGAAACTGGCCAAAGGTGTTGTGAACATTTTAACCAGTCCGGACCTGCCCACCATAACCGATTTTTTAATAACTCGGATGGTAAAAGTCCTCGGGAAGCACAATCGGCGGAGTTGTCGGCTGACTTAATATGATACCAGTGAGCGGGTGATACCAAATCTTGTATTTGAGATACACGATTAGCAACGAAGGTTTTCCATCTATGTGGAGAGGACTGTATCCATTGTAAAGCGATAGTAGAATCTGTATATGCGAAGATTTTAGAAAATATTAATTTGTTTTGAAAAGTATTTAAAACAAACGATATTAGCTTCGCGAGTAAAAAAGCAGCTGAAAGTTCCAAGCGAGGTAATGAGATTTTTTTTAAGGGTGCGACTTTTGATTTAGCGGTTATGAAATATGTTTGAAAACTATTATTTTGTTGTACTCGGAAATAAATAACACCAGCGAAACCCTTTTCAGAAGCGTCACAAAATGAATGTAATTCACATGATTGATATGTATCTGGTAATATACGTCGTGGCATATTAAATTTTGACAATAAATTAAGTTCTGACTTATATTGTAGCCAATTTTTGCAAATTGAAGTCGGAGGTTGCGTGTCTCAATCAAGTACAAGACTCCAAAGTTGTTGAATAAAATGTTTAACGAAAAATGTTATTAGAGTTAAGAATCCTAAAGGGTCAAATATACGAGCAATGTCAGAAAGAAGAAGTTTGGTACATTTGTTTTCTGAAAGTTCAATTTTATAACAGAAGTTATCAGAAGAAGTTGCCACTGTAAGCCCAAAATTTTTATGGTTACATGCGATTCGGCGTCAAATGAAAGAGACTGAAGTTGAATATGTGACTCAGGCAAGTCTAATAAAAATTCAGGTAAATTACTGGTCCATTTTCTAAGTTCAAAACCACCAGATTTTAACAAATTTATAAGTTGGTCGCGTATAATTTTTGCCTCATGTAGGGAATTACACCCTGTTACAATGTCGTCTATGTAAATGTCATTCTGTAAAACTTTAGAAGCTAGTGGAAATTTAGAGTTTTCATCTAGAGCTAACTGAATAATAGTGCGATTTGCGAGATAAGGCTATAAAGATAATCCAAAAGTTACTCTTTTTAATCGAAAATCTGAAACCGGTTCGTTAGGTGAAAATCTCCATAACATGCGTTGATAATTTTGATGCTTTTCTGCTACCAAAATTTGTGTAAAAATACTTTTAATATCACTTGTAAATACTACAGAATGTAGTCTAAAATTCAAAAGAATACCAATAAGATCCTTTTGTAATTTAGGGCCAGGTAAAAGTGAATCATTTAGCGAATCGTTAGAAGTTTTTACCGAGGCATCAAAAACAACCCTCAGTTTTGTTTTAGTGTTATCTTGTTTGAAAACACAGTGATGCGGAATATAAAAAATATTCTTTAGATTTGCGTCTTCATGAACTGGCTCCAAGTAATCGGAATCTAAATATTCTTGTATATACTCAGAATACTGTTTATAAATATCTGGAGTTGTAAGTAAACGCCGTTCTAGTGAAAGAAATGCTAGTGATCTAGAATTATTGAAGTCAAAATGAGGCTCCAAATTTTTAAAGGGTAATTCTACACTATATCGACTTGATTCAGTTATAGAATGTGTTTTCTTAAAAATATTTTCGCATAATTCATCTTCAGGCGACACAAATTTCAACGAAGGAATTTCCTCTAACTCACAAAAGCTTTTTATATTGTTTTCTAATGTAAACAAATCACTATCAGTAGCTAATGAGAAAAGCGAAGTTGTGTTGACACTTGGAGTATCGTTAGATTTAAATTTTCCCATTAGAACCCATCCAAATATAGTGTTAATAGCGATTGGTTCATCAGGATTGCCGACTATACGTCCATGTTGTAATATATTTGGAAAAACGTCAGCACCTAATAATAAATCAATACTATCAGCTTGATAAAACCGAGGATCTGCTAAGTTAATATTAGTTATATGGGACCAATTTTTATTATGTATTGTAGCGGTTGGCATATCCGTACATAATTTGGGCAAAATAATTGCGTCTACATTAATGTTAGGCGAATTTTTTCCAACAGGCTTCATACTACAGGTTACTGCGCCGCGAGAAGTAGTTTCATTCATTGAACTTAAACCTCGTATAGAGAGTGAACAATTAAAGCGAGATAAGCCTAGTCGGCTAAAACATTTTTGAGAAATATAGCTGGTTTGTGAACCGCAATCTAATAAAACACGGACACGTTGATAGTTACCTCGAACATCTAAAATTTCTACAATAGCTGTAGAGAGTAAAACATTAGTAGCAGAGGAAATTATACCACAAAAATTGTTAGATTGTGATGAACAGGCGACAGGTGAATTATCGATTGAGCTATTAATTTGCGTAGGCCTAGAAATATCAGAAGCGTTACCAGAATCATTTTCTGATTGATTATTTTCGCGAGACAGATGAAGCAGCGTATGATGCCGCAAATTACACTTACGACAGCTAGATGACGACTTACAATTCTTTATGCCGTGTTGCGAACTTAAACAATTTAAACACAAATTGTTTTGTTTAGAAAAATTAAACCTCTCATGCGGGATTTTGCGTGAAAATTTGAACACTGGTATAAGTTATGATCAGATTTACGACATAAGAAACACTGAATTTTATTAACTTTATTACTAAAAAATTAAGATGTATTTTTAGTTCTTTGTTTTGTTGAGTTATTGTGGACATAACCTTGTCTAATAACGCTTTGTGATCTTGTATTTAATGACAATTTTGTAGTATCTTGTGCATCGCACTGTTTTGAAACAAAGTCTATTAATGATTCGAATGTTGCGTTATCATCATCCTATGACAATATTTTTAGTTTGTTAACGTGTCATAGTGTCCTGATCGAGATGTTTTGCAAACATATAAAATAATAGAAAATCCCAATCTTCTACAGAATATTCCATATTTTTTAGAGCAGCTAGATTTTCAGTAAAGGTGTCGTAACAAATTTGTTAAGTCAGAATAATGTTTCGAGTTTGAAACAAATGGAGCATCGTCCATGGCTTGCAAGTGAGCAAAGGCAATAATTCTCTTTTTATTATAGCGTTTAAGTAATGAATCGTAAGCATTCTGCTGATAATTTTATGCATTGTACGAGAGCTAAAGGGGGACCAGTTAAACAGGAGATCAAATAATTAAACTTTTCTATTTTAGAAATCGATTTATTGTGATGTACAATTGAATTAAACATCCCTATAAACGCTCTAAATGTAGTAACGTCACCGGAAAATTTTGGTATTTCGACCTTAGGTAACTTTACATTAGTTTTACCATAACTTTTCAACGAGCGAATAATTAATTGCGCAAACATAGAAATAATCAAATTCAAACTGTTTTCTGATTTCTTCCTCTAAATCAATATCTTGATCTTGAAGTGCCATGAGTGCTAATAAATTTTGATGATGATTTCTAAAATCAGATGAAATCGCTCCAATTTGGGTAAACAACATTTGAAATTGCACTCGCGATGCATCATCCGCCGCGGCTCTATCAGCAAATTCTTTCAATTCATTTACTTGATTAATCGACATTTGACGAAGAGCTTTAGACTGCTTTATTTTATTAGCTGTAGTAGCCATATTTACTAATGTCAAATTTATATCCTATGTCAAAAAAGAAAAATAAAATACCTATAAAATTTACAGAGAACAGCAAAGTAATGCCAATATATCGTATGATTAGCGTTAGAAATACGACCTCAAAAAGTCTTTAAGTGATATAAATTTATATGCGATATATTTAATTATTAAATAAATAAATATGTAACCAAGAAAATAGGCAAAATGTCAGCGAATGAAAATACAATCTTGAAATTATTAATCCGGACTCGGAGGTCCAACAAATGTGCGGTATAGATGGAAGCGATTGTGCTGAAACTGAACTCACCCTCAAAAGTGTCCCGACGCGACACAGCGATCCTCCTTCACCAATCTAGCGGATGCAATATAGTGGATCTTCCGATGCAGCATAAACAACGAAACAGCGAAAAGCGGGAACGGGTTCTTTTGAACAACAGAAACAGCACAGAGGAAAAAACACTTGTCGTTGACTTTTTTCTTGACCTCGGTAATTTTGTTCAATTTCAACAACTCCTTTTTTTTTGTTCATGACAACCGCGGATATATATAAAAAAAATATATATATTTTCATACGCTCTAAACATTATTCTTATAGAACAAATTAATTATTTCCCCTTTTTCAACAAGCGGAGGGAAATCAATTTGAACACATTAAAATAACATTATTTCTTTCATTTTTTTTCTTATTCTTTAAGGAATGATTTTATTGTCACATTCAATTCAAAATTTAAAAAGTCGTATGCCGTCGTGAGCAGAATCAAAGCTTTAAAATAAGGTGTCACTCAACATAGGGCGCCATTTAAAGTTTAAGGATATTTTACGCTATTGCCTAAGGGGTAGCTTCTAAGACACCAAAACTTACGCCCTCATGTGTCTCCCTAAAAAAGAAAATCGCTGTGTGTCAGTTTTTTTTTATTCCGATATTTTCCAGGCGGGAAGTTTTGATTGAAACACCCTGTATAATACTGGCATTGGATTTATCGAACTTAGTATTTCTCCTTGCATTGAGTTAACCATTGACTTTTTTATGGTGTATATATTAATTATATACAGGGTGATTCAGTCATAATGTCATTAATTTTAAGAGCAGACAGAGAAAAATGAGTATAATACGATGGCATGATTTAAAAAAAAATTGAATGCATATTTAAGCGGAAAAAAATATTTTCAAATCATTATTTAACCCTCTTTTCAGGCTGTTACTGACCGGCTGACGTCAGCCGGTTATTCGCAGTTTGCGCACGGCTACGGTATGAACAGGGCGCCCTAGATGCAACGTTGCCATATTTATATATTTTCGCTCATGTAAAGACAATAATAAACGGTTTGCTCACGTCAGCCAATAAGAATTTAAAATGCTATAAATTGTTTTTTAAATTATGCAATCAACATATTAAATTGTAATTGTTATTCCGCAACTGCTCTACATTCTCTACCCCGGCGAGCGCGCCGGCCATCTTATGGGCCCTCGTCTCCCTATATCCAACGATTTGGACATTGATCGTCTAAAAATGGCACGGACATCGCGAGCAAAATGGGCCGGAGCTCCGTCGTGCATATACCACATATCCCGTAGCATCTGAAGGAGAAGGTTTTCAAACAATTGTACTAAAAATTCAAAGTAACGCGGCCCATTCAGATGTTCAGGTAGAAAATGCGGCGCAATTAAACGATCGCCATATACTTCTGCCCATACATTGACACCGAATCTCCTCTGAAAGCTAAACCGACGAATAGTGTACGGGTTTTCATCTGACCAAATGTGACTATTATGGCTGCAAATAAATTAGCTCTGTTTCACTTTAAATAAAATTTAATATTGAAGTTACTTTCAAAACTTCAAGAGTTCAAATAATTTAAATTTCATTTCATAACCATTTTAATTTTATTACAGAAATAATGACATAAAAAACCATCACTCGCTAGATAAATAATAAGATATAGTGAAAAGTATTTAAATATTGACA